TGACTATATTAATATATAAACACATTCCCTTTGTAATCTATTACACACTGCAGAGATTTGTGAAAACTGTAGCAACATAGACCATAATATCCTCATTATGGATTATTGGGATTATTCAGGTCAAACACTTCAGCTGTTGAGGGCTTCAGCTTTAGCAAAAGTGAGGGAGACACTCGAGTTTTGTCATGACCCAGTGTTGGATCTCTCTCAACCCAGATTTTGAACTACATTGTCTGTTGGGTTCTGTTGCCAAATTGGCAGCAACCCCAGGTCTCTTCTGGCACTTTCATTGTCGCTATTTGTTCCATTTTCCTCTCCTCAGCTATGGCGCAATATACAGAGAGCTGGAGCGCACAATCTTGGCTGCAAACACACAAGAGGACCTGAAGTGGTTCAGTAACAACCACGGCCCTGGGATGCATATGAACTGGCCTGCATTTGAGGTACAACATTAAACTTTCAAAGAAACATAAGGAACCTCTTCTTTTCGTTTACTACATTTCTTTATTCTGCTTTGATGTGTTTCTTTTCACTCTCATCTCCAGGAATACAACCCAGACCAGGCCAGTGCTCCCCCAAAGAAGAAGAAACCAGACGGCGCCCCACCCACTCCGAGCACTGACCATGTGGCTCCACCTGGTGATCGTAGCAGGTTAGTTCAAGGAATCTACTGTTTACAATCAAATGAATCACATCAAAGCACAATCTATTTAATCAGGACATTATATTTTGTGACAAATATAATTTTCTAAAATAGTAGGGCACTGTAGTCTTATACATGTTACTTATACAGGAATAAAAAGTGCATTTGTGGGGGCAATTTTCAGCTGCAGATGCTAGGGAGTATTTAAAGCAGCAGGATGGTGTATGTGGGATCAATTCAAAATAAACTACAGTGCCCATGTTCATCATAATGAAGGAAGATGTCTCCCAGTGCAACAGTGAGGCTTAATGGTGTGTTTTTAATCATTTTAGCTCAATAGCATTGTTAGTAGGATCCATTCATTGTTGGTTATAACCTTTTCATGGGATTTGCTGACAATAAGAGAGACTTTTTCTTTAAAAATTTGTTTAATATTTTGTTTTGGGGGTCATCAAATTTCACCCTGCATTTTCTCTATCCTCCAGTGTGAGCAGCTATGATAAAAACCAAGCTTACTCAACTGAGTGGTCCGATGACGAGCAACCCGCTACGTACTCCGGCAATGAAAACGGTGGAAATGGGAATTCATTCGAAGATGATTCCAGCACTGGGAAAGGGGCCGGGGCAGGGGCCGGGGTCCGTGTCCGTGCTCTCTATGATTATGATGGCCAGGAACAGGATGAACTCTCCTTCAAAGCAGGTAATTATCAGTGACCAGATTACACAAGCTATACGATTTTGTCTACCGTCATATAATGTACATAAAGGGCCTGGGACAAGATGACCAGCTGACGCATCACACAGGTGGTCAAAAATCACTCACGTGATTTCTATTCTAAAGTGCCCTTCCTCTATGCAAGATAGCAGTGATTAGTCAATAATAGCCACATGGAAAACAAATTACAGGCACTTGCCACCAATTAACACAAGCTCTTTGGGAAATGGTGTGAAAAAGTGCTTTAGAGCACCACACGGTGACATGACTAACAATTCAAAGACGAGCTTTACACAAAAAAATAACAATTGAATAAGCCACAGCTGTGCATCTTACTGCATATCCAGATTGATTTCTTTAGTGCTTTGCCGCCACCTGTAGATCAGTGGAATAGTGTGAAACTGGAATTATATTCTGGCAGTTATTGTGTATGCATTGATGTGAATGAACAAAACAGGGATTCACTCATAAAATATTGTTCCATAGCGCTACTAGTGGTCAAAAACACCACAGGGAACCTTTAATTTATTTGGTCTTTATTGTGTGATGAAACTGGGTTCACACAGCCTTATCAAATTTAATTAATTGAAATTTCTCCACAAAAGCCATATCTATCTTTTCACCTATCCCCCCCTAAAATATCGAGAATTTCTTTAACTGGGTAGATAAAATATCAAAAGTTGAAATAATTAAAAAGTATATTATTGTTGTCCGGTCAAATTTTACTAGGAGCATGGTAGACTAATGAACCTCAGTATTTCTAAAATACTGGCTACTATACAGTGCAAAAAATCTAGAGAGCTTTAATAAACAAAAATATGGAGTGGAGTGGTATTTACAGATATCTTTATTTCAGATTTAGACTTACACTCACTATTTGGCACAGGACTGCATGTTGATTAAGGAGTGGTGTCTCCTTCACAGGTGATGAACTGATCAAGACTGAGGATGAAGATGAGCAAGGCTGGTGTAGAGGTCGTATGGACAACGGCCGAGAGGGACTGTACCCGGCCAACTATGTCGAGCCAATTTAGTCACGTTACTGGACAAGGACACGCCATTGGAGGCAGCTTGAACTGTCCCGTCCAATTGCACCGCACATAGCCAGAGACTTAAGAGCAACACATCCCTTGCCCAACAGATGCGCCAAGCAGTCTTGCCTAAATAAAAACTTAGTAACCTAAAAGACAATATATCAGTATAATATATTTTATCCAGCATTTGGGGTGGGTGGACTTACACATTTAAAAACAGGAGCAGCAGTTATTCCAGTATATACACACTCAACTATAACATCAAAACAGTGCAGGAACACATTGCTTCTCTGTGTAGCTGTATTTAACGTATAATGCAGCTTATTTAAACTTGCAGTATACTGCAGTCTGTTCTCTTGTGAAAATGGGAAGATAATATAATCAGTTATACCCATTCGACAAAGACGAGCTTCTTTAACCTGCATTGTGTATATACAGTGTAATGCCATTTTTGTGTAGCATTTCTAATGCTGTGTGTGGTCAGTTGTCATTCTTACATCAGGAATGCTGTGTAGTGTTTAAAGTACCACAGACAGTATCCTCTTTTTTTTTCTGTCCTCTTTTTTTTTCTTTGTGATTTGGTCCAACCGCTTTCCAGTGTGTGCAGTGCTATGTGTTTTAACTGTTTCTGATCTTGCATAGCAGCATGTGCTATGCAACAACTTGCATTCCCTGAATCCTGCAGCCTTATTTAGGCTGCAACTTGATGCAACACTTCAACTACAAATGCAGAGTTCACTTTCTAGCATCACATGCTTCTGTTTTCATGAAAAGAAGCTTGTTCATGAACTGATTTTATGTTTGTTTGTTATTAACATTTTTTGTTCTTAGCATCACAAGTCCTTTGACAATATCATCTCCATGCAATCCATGGAAAGGATATACAGTTTTTGCGGAAGCTTTCATTCTTGGTTCAGTAATTCAGGTCTCATTTTAATCCACTACTGCTAACGAGAAACACGAGCGATACATTCCCTCAGAGCGAAGTCGGATCAAGTCATCTTCTTGAGGTTGCCACTGCAGTATAAGAGGTGGGTTTTGAACAATGCCTGTGTCGGCACTTTTCTTCCAGAGCGAGGGGCAAAAGGAGGCATGTCAATGCATTACTGTGCTACAGACAGTTGTCTGAAGATCGAAGCTTCTCCAACAGGACATGAATGTACTAGTGTTTGGGCTAGAAAGAGGGCATGTTGTCTAAACATGGTTCTCCACTGTCATTTAAAGCCCTACCTAGCAAAAAGCACTAGTTATGTGGCCCGTTTTCCTGCTGAGCCAAAGAATGACCCAATACCATCAACTATATGTTTTCTCTCCATGCAATAACTTCACATATCACATGTGAAACAGCTTCAGTGAAGATCAGCTTGTAGCTGCCTCCCAGTCCACCCAAACCTCATTTGTCTGCAAAACACTCACAATGACACAGGGAATACATTTGTCACCAGTACTGCACTGCATGTAAGATGGCTCTTACACCGTGCATTACATGGTTATTTTTAAATCTTTAACTTGCTCCATAGAAAATTAAATTTATAGCAGGAATTATCAGATGCTGATTAGTGAGTTATATTGCTACGAGTTGCACCTAAATCTCTGATTAGATGGGAGAGATACTTTTTATAACTTAGTTGTCCTGAAGTTTTTAAATTTCACTGGATCAACAGCAGTCAGATGTGTTTAGCTCTGTGTCTGGAACAGGATTTGACAGGTTTGGGTCTCACACATGAGGAGAAACACATCACCAGCTCACAAGTTGTGTCTTAGAGTAAGCTGTCCAGCATAGCAAAAAGGACTCCTATCATCAAACTGTCCCACATTCTTGATGAGCGTATGCACACACAACCTCACACATACAAAAACACATGCATTTAACACACTATATACACGATACACGCAAGTTCAAACACATAATCCACTTTACCAGGTTAATATTTTGGGGGAAAACATCTTCTTCATCCAGTGTGTATGAGTTGTGTAAATGTAACAGAAAAAAATGTTTAAAAAAAATGCAAGTGATTGACTATTAAGACAAAATGTAGTGTTATACATGTAAATGTGTTTCATTAAAATAACAGCAATGGAAAACATATTAAGTAATAGGTACCATATCGTATGAATTTCATTGCAATGGAAATGTCAGTGTATCATAAAAGCGTGATGTTATCCCACGCTGTCAGATTTGTATATGATGATGTAATTTAAAGATTATATTCTATTGTAACTGTACAACTGTGTTGAGTTGAAAATGAGACCTAACCACGTTGAGGCAGTAAAAAGGTGTACATGTAAATGCTTTTTTATGTTGATGATCTCTTCCTTATGCACACAGGGGACAGCAGCTCACGTTGTGGAAACCCTATATTAGCGGTCTAGAAGATGTATGTTCATAGTTAGTGATGTACTTTTATCTCCTAACTGGTGTAGTGCCTGTTCATCTTGATGTAACAAGAAGTTCATTTAAATATGCATAAAGATGATTATGATCACAGATAATAATGACGATAGTGATGAAAAACCCGACTCAAATTTGTTGTGATGGTGTCAATATTGCGATATTGGTTTGAAAGGGAAACAAGTTTGTTGAAAAAAGAAAAGTTAGTGTCCGTGTGTTTTTTGTATGGACTGCACGAGTGATTTGGAATGATTTATTATAATCAATATTTGGTAATTTATTGCTTTATTATAGATCCTGAACATAAACCCAAAATACAGAAATGTAAAAAGGACTATCCATCAAGGAAGGTTTAATAAAATATTCGCTTTCTTTGGCATTGCTCTGCAACTTCTAAATATTCTGGACACTTGACTGGGACAAGTATCATAATTAGAAAAAGAAAATTTAATGGACTAGTTAAACAGTTTGGGAAATAGTGCTTATTTGGTTTCTTGCCAAGAGTTAGATACACATGTCTCTACACTAAATGTGTAGCTGGAGCTGGTTAGTATAGCTTAGCACAATGACAGGAAAAAGCTTGCCTGGCTCTGTCCAAAGATATCTAAACTCACCAATCAGCACCCTTAAAGTTCAATAATTTTTGTATTGATTAAACAAGAAAGATGCAGTATAAGGTGTTAAATGGTGTTCTTTAAAGGAATTGATTGGCAGTTTTTGGATAAAACTTTAGACAGAGCCAGGCTAGCTGTTTCCAATCTTTATGCTAAGCTCCAGCTACATACCGTACAGGTAGAGAGTGGTATCAATCTTCTCGTCTAACTCTTGGCAAGAATGCAAGTAAGCGTATTTTCTATTTCTCTTAAATGTTTCCACAGTTGGAAAAACGTTTCCACAGTTGGAAAAACGTTTCCACAGTTGGAAAAACTGACAACAAAGAGACATATAAATTAAAATACAGTATTAAGAATAATTAAGTAAAGAGATAGTATGATAGGCAGGAGTGCATATTTCAGTAGGCAGTCTATACAATTGAAATGAAAATTTAAATACAATGAACGAACGAGCTTCAGAGTTCATGTTACTTGTACTGTATGTCCAGCATATCTTTGTTTCCTCCTCAGCTCATTCTCTTCTGATCAGCCCAGCCTCTTCATCATACGGGGTTGACGAACTGGTAGACCAGTCTGCGTGATACATCAGGCTTTCGAATGATGCCTTTTTTGTAGTACTGGCGTATGGAGCGACTCAGTTTGTCATAGTTCATAGCCGGGCGGTTCTTCCTGATGCCCCATAGCCTGGCCACGTGAGCCGAGTCTTCTATTTTGAAAATGCCTTTGGACAGGAGAAAGAAAATGTACTCAATTTGGATTCCGAGGTGAAGTTTTGATTAGTGAAGCAAGCATGGCTAAAAATTCAGTGATGGACTGTTCTGTACTATTTGTTTTAGGACATGCCAGGAGATGGTTAGCTTAGCTTAGCATGAAGATTGGAAGTATGGGTGAAGGTATATCAGCAGGCCTGATTCTCTCCAAAGGTTAAAAAATCTGCCTACCTGCACCTCTAAAGCTCACTAATGAACACATTTTATTTCGTTTGTTTAACCTGTTCAAAAACCCGAGGTGTAAAAACAATATTTTGAGGTTTTACAAAGGGTTATGTGCTGAACTTTTTCTTGGCCGGGTGCAGTGATTTGCATGGAGGAGGAAAATACAGTAAATAAGCGCCAGTGTAATCAGTCACATGTACCCATACATCTGTTTTGCCAAATTATCATTCAGTTTCTCTGCTCACAGATTTACAATTCTCTGTCTCCTCACCTTTCTCTTTGTTAAGCCAGCGGATGCAGCGACTGTAGTCATGAGGCTTGAGGAGCAGCTCTCGGAGGAACTGCCAAAGGTGGATGGGCTGGTTGGGGTAGTTACACATCACATCTGACCAGGAATCATCATCAGCTGCTGACATAGGAAAATAGAAATCACACGTTCCTTAGCATTTTAATCAGTGAAACATTTGGAACTATAATAATGTTTTCAATTATATTGAAATATAGCTACAACCAAGAACTTACCAGATTTGCTGTCTTCTGGTGGGCAGCGCTCTTTCATTGCTGCAGCTAAAGAATCAGAGAAAAAAATAAATAAATCATGTAGCAGTTTACACAACACAGACTATTTAAAGCCAAGTCTTAAATTTGCTCTTAGTCACACTACATTTGGTCCACAATTAGCCTTTCCTAATTTGCTAACAACAAAGTTGATGTAGGTTCATTTCCCAGCGTTCCTGTTCTTACCAGATCTCCAGATGTCCAGATGAGCATACAGCATGTCTCCAAACTGCGAGGAGCGTTGTCTGAAGTCTGCTTCTGTCATGGAGCACAGATCTCTGCCAGTCAGTTCCTGAAACATTGTGCTGACCTGTGGCAGCCTGTACAGGTGCTCGGTCCAGAGTAGCCACTTCTGTACATGCACACAGCTCCAGTCCAAGGGGTCTAAAAAGGAAAACATAGAGAGATAAGTCCGTTTCCTTTAAACAAACCCACAAGTTGATTTTCTGATGCTAAAAACATGCCGACAGACCTTAAATGATGACATGATTTTTTAATTTCACCAATAAAAACACTTCAATAGGTTGCTGACAGACATCTTATAATGGAGTTGTTATTTTACACTGAATTACCTGGTGGGGGGGGGGTCAAACTATTGGTTGCTTTTGGTTTTTATTACGGGATCCAGTGTTTGACCCATACAAGGGATTAAAAATCTTAATATCTCCGCCTCTGTTGACCCTTCTTTTTTCAATTTGTCACATGTGAATTGCCCAATATTAAGAAAGTGCAATGCAAAATTCTATGACTGCTGCAGTAAAGATGATACAAGAAAGAGAAGAAAGTTTCACGGAAATTCATTTTGACTACTTGAGTAAACTGTTATTTAACCAGCTTAAACTTTATGTGATTAAAGAAATGTGACTCTGTGACCTGTGAAGATCTATTAACCAAAATAGGATATAAAAACAAAACCTCTGCATTTTATTTAAGTTACTATTATGTTAATGGCGCACATGACTGATTTTACTTGTCAAAGTCAATTTGCCCTCGCATTATAGTACTACTCAGCCTGTGAAAACAGTTTATTCAATTCTTCTTGTGTAAATATAGTGACTTTACGATCGGAAACTACACATTTTTAACATAAAGCCTCTATTACAAGCTGAGGAAAGGAACAAAGGACAGCTCGGAGGGGCTGTTTCTGTGATAACTTAAGATTCAGACACACAATGACTAAATTCCTCCATCTGGTTAAAAGATAGAGTTAAAAAAAAGAAGTGTATTGTAAAAATGTGGATTAAAAGTGGATTAAAATTTTTAAAAAAAAGGTTGATTGATGAAACGCACCGTTACCTGAATAAAAATTACAAATTTCTCTGATGTTCTGTTTCATCATTTTTAATATTTGGGAAAATATAAGTACACAACTCAACAAAATATATAACCTAGCTCTAGTGTTTTTAGACATTTGAATGCAGAAATGTTGCATGTTATATCTTTAAATTATGACTATGATGCAACATGTATGATAAATGTTGCATCAGCTACTTTCTAAGTAATGTAGAAAACTGACTGTAACAAAAGCAAATAATCACACACACAGTGTATGATTTTAAGGCCCTAGATAAAGACTCAGTTAATAAGAAGTGAAGATGAACCTATGTCAACAGAAACGTTTGCACAAGGTAGGCAGGGCGTCAGACACCAGGTATCAGGTAGAGCTAACATGCAAATTATGGCTTTTTGAAGGTTTATTTTATTAGACTACAACTTCTGCCAACACTTTCTTCAGCACTGTGATAATAACCTGATATTAACCAGTTGTATTATGTCCTACCTGATGCAATGTTGAGCAGTTTGCAAGCCGTGTCGACATCTTTCAGCACTTCTCCCACCACCATGGTCTGGACCTGCTCCAGACAGCGCTCCTCCACCTGACCCTCCATCCCAGAAGGGGGATTGTGGACTTGGCTGGGTTTGGCTGGGTTCAGCTCTGGAATCCTGGAGGGAGGAGCAACAGGAGCTGGGGCCTCTGTCATCCTCAGCACCCAGGGGTTCTCCTCTATGGCTAATCTGTTGTAGCTGGGGACGTAGACCCCTGGCCAGCTGAGCTCAGGCAGCCCCAACAAGCTGCGGGGCGGTTTGATGTCCTCCACCTCATCCAGCTGGGCTATCCTAATGTCAGTGTGGTGAGGGTGACTGATGTAGAGAGGCGAGTGTGCAGTGCAGTCTGGACTCCCCATTCTCAGGCTTGTTTAAAGCTGAAAGAAGAAAGCATTGTTTTCATAAAATGTTGTCATCGGTATGTCATTACACCCTGCGTGACATTTTCAACAGCAACACTGACTTGTGGGACAGAGTTACATTGATGCTTCGCTGAAACCATACCCAAATGCCCAATATTTAAACAGTAGCAATCCTAAAGTAAACTTGACATTTGTTCCACGTATTTACTTTGCTGGGACTTACAGTTAGAAATAAGGAATCTGTCATTCCACCTTTGCCAACTGGAGCCTTTGTGACAGTTCAATTCAATGAAATCCATTGTTTGCCTTTCATTGTGTTTTAATGTAACTGGAAATTAAATTTTTGATCCAGATTCTGTAAGAATTCATTTTCATTCATTAATATTTCATATTTCCTTGTATTTGGAAATATTCAGGTCAAACAGGTTTATCCTGTGTGGAATTCTGACATTATCTTTCACTATTTTCAACATCATTCAACAATATCAGAAAGCAATCTACTCCACCTTTTAGATAGTAAATACAAATAAAGAAAGGAAGAACAAAGTCTTGTTTGAAACTCCAACTGTAAGTACTTTTTCACATTTTTCATTCTATTATGCATATGATTGATACATTTAAATCATTTGATAAAGTAAATTAGGTGTTTGGTTATTATCACAGTGTGAAACCCAGTGCTTTTTAAAAATGTCAACTTCATCACTTCATCGAGATGGATCACAAGTTAATTGCAAAAGAAAGATTGATAGAATACAGCATAAAGGGTGGGACACATATAATATGTGGATAAAGGATAAGTAGCTGGAGCGTATTCATCATGGTATGAGTAAGAGAACAGCTCACCAGGCTGGGAGTGGTGCTTTATGTCAGTATTTCATTCGACAAAATTATACACCTGTTTAAATCGAAAGTCCTAAAAGTAAAAATACGTCTGCATCTTTTTGTATGTGTGTAGTTTCAGATGTGATAAACAGTGTCTGCAGTCTTTACTAAAACAGATATAATGAGTAGAAAGTTCTGTTCTGTCAGACTCAGAATACATTATACTGAATATTATTCAATGGCTACCTTTTTGGTAAACATTAAGTATACAAGAGTATTGAACAACTGGCAAAGACAAATAGATTGATCATCTGACCTCAGTTCAAAACATTTCCAAAACAATGGCACATGATGTGAGATGGTGTGATAAGAGCAAGGCAATTCTCAAAAGCTGGACTGCTGTAAAAAAACAGAGCTATAAATAACTGATACAGTTTTTTAGATTTGTTTGCAGGAGAAAAAAAGGAGGTAAAGCTCACATCAATAGCTGTTATGTACTACTTATTGCTATACCAGTACAGGCTCACCACCAATATAACAAAGGTCAAAATAGATGAACAGTTCTAAAAGAAACCAAATGTATAGTACATAGCCTAGATCTGGGGTTCCCAAGCTATTTGATGTCATGGACCCCCGCAATAGATCAGACAGAACATAATAAAGTCATCAATCAATGATCAAACAATGATTGCTTATCAGTAAAAATGGCCAACCCCATTCCTTCCATTGTTGTTCCAATTCTGATTAAATGTTAAAATTAGTCTTGTGCTGGGGACCCTGTACACCCCATCCAAGGATCCCTGTTGGTCCCCGGACCCCAGTTTGACAACCACTGGCTTAGATGTCTCAACACATGGTCCATATCTCTACTATTATTTCCTCGCCTCCAGGCGTTTGTCGTTGTGTTAAGTTAAATGTTTAGAGGCAGTAAAAACTTGCTCTTCTGGATTATCCTTTCTCTCTTGAACAAATGTATTTTCAGTGGGTGCTGTCCAAATGAAAGCAGCACGTTCATGAAAGCAAGTCTTTTATTTGCAGAGTCACATTCGCTGCTGTGTTTTACACCTCGTTAGATAGCAGCCAAACTGATATGAGAGTCAATTTGAAAAGCTGTGGTCATTCATTGCTGCCTGCATTCCAGTGTTCGTTGGAACTGTTCTTTTCCATAACACACCTTTATGAGCTGTTCTGTGTCTGTTTATCAAAATGGCTTAAGTCTGTTTTTTACAGGTTGCAGGGAGGCTGTTAAAAAGACAGTGAAAGAGAATGCAATGTCACTACATTTTCTTGTATCTATACACACAATTTAGCTTTTATCTTTATGCAAAACGTGGATTTATTAAATCCGCTCAACCAATACTATTTTTACTAGGCTCTTACAATATGTGGTTAGTGCCATTAATCCAATTATAAACAAAGACAAATAATTATAGAATAAAAGTCTATTTTATGGTCAATAATCACAGGTGGTTATTGTCTGCATCCCAATTTGAAATGTACAAGGTAAGATAATACATAATGCTTTCAGTGGTCTAGACATTGGAACAACTGGTATTGGAGGTAATAGGAGAAACATTGTTGGTAGTATAGTCAGTTTGTATAGTCATAATAACTGTAGGGGAAATATTGGGAGCTTAAATATGTTAATACATTACAATCATAACAGTAGTAGCCCTAACAGCACTGTACATAATAGTGGGATAGTAATAGTATTAGTAAGAATAATGGATAATGTTGGAAAGTGACTAAAAAATTTAAACAGTTCACAGTCACATAAATTACTAGTTGTTTAGTAATTGTTTAGTGAGTTGTAGTTACTGCTGACTTTGTTGTAAGATTTTTACAAAATGATGAAATAATAAACATGCAGCAAACATGATCTCATCAAAAAATGAGACAATATAATGTGATATAATGTAATGGGACCCTGAAAGCAGCTAAATTGATTTCAGCCATCGTTATTTTTATTACACATCTGTGTTTATTTGTATTTAGGGAGTAGTATACAGTAGCATGAACCAATGCCTCACACAACAACATTTATAGCTTAAGTTTAAATTTCAATGCTAGCCAGATGGACTTTTAAAATGCATAACAAATACATACAAAACAGAACAAGACAAAACTATTTACACACAGTGATACAATACAATTACTGTAAACCTTGAAAAACTAACAGAAACCATTTGTTTCCACTTTAAAAACTGTCTCAACTTCAGTTTATGTCAAACCTTACTGTTCCACAAAGTATTACTACTTTACTCTGGTACCTGAATACTTTTCCCACTACTGGTAACAGTGGCAGCAGTGTAAGTAGCAGGTACAATCATGTGTGAGTAATAATAGTAGCAGTAATAGCCTAGTAGTAGAATTGTTAGCCATATTCTGAGCAGCAGTCTTACCTTGTCAGTGTTTGACAAAAGTAGATTCAGAAAAGTTTCCAATATGGAGGCGTCTTCTCAGCTCTGCCTGGCTCTTCTTCTGTCTTAATGTGGACTAACGTCAAGGTCCTGTGGAGACTTTGCCCTCAGGTGAGGATGTATGTAGTTTTTGTCACCTGCCAGCTGTCAGAGCTGGATCACATCTGCCCACTCCAACCACTGACTTCTGGTCTCAGCAGCAAGAGTTTGACTTATTTGGGACACAGTGCCTTCGTGACATATCAATTCTGAAAGCAAGGGTGTGTCCCAATGAGGGAGGTTGCTCTAAGTGCATACTTAATAATGACTTGAGGCAGTATTTAGATGGAGAGTTCCTTAAGTAAACAAACCCGGTGAGTCTTAACAGCCTGGGTCAAAGCTGTGAGGGTATCTGTTGAGTTTTTACGATCATTTCAAGAAGTTTTTAAGACGATATTAAAACTTTGTGAGCAAAAACCACAAAAGTACTGAAGCCAGAGCATTAATGGAGTCTATTTTTATCTAATCTAATCTGATTTGCCAAGGAAATCGTGTCAAAGTTCACTATTCTGTGTGAGGGGTGAGGAAAAATATATGCTTATTTTGAAGAAAATCTACAGCTCAGGCTCAGTAGCAGGGAAGATGAATCACACTTTATTAAGGTGTTACATTTGACAGACACTCTATCAAGTTGTTCCACTGTTAGAGGATTAGCACATTGTTTGCATACAGTAGCTCACCACTGCATTGAAACTGGAGGAAGATGAAAGTAAATTTCCATAAAGGAATGGTCCCAAACATACTGATCAGTCACCACTGGGCCTTTTGGTGACTGTGTCTACAGCACAGAGATGATTAGATGGAAGGTGACATACAGAGGCTAACTTCCGTCATAATGTGTCAGGATTAACTGAAAGACAGATGGATATCCTGCTTAAGGAGAGAGGATCATGTGTATTGATAAATAATATCTCACTGTGTGTATTGTAGGCTTGATTTCAGCTTACCCTCATATGAGAGCTGAAATGCTGGCTATGTAAGGATACATGGGATCTAGAGGGTGGGCGATGGCATCCATGACGTATTAGAAAAAAGTCATCTGCAGGAAAATAATGGTTAGAATTGTTTTGGAAGGTTGAAAACTATTCTTGGGAAAGTTGACTAACTGGTACATGGAGCGAGTCTGAGTAAGAGAAAGAGAAAGCACAAGTGTGCAAATGTTTGCTTAAACTAAACAGTAATGTTTGTGCGGTAGTGTTGAAATATTCCAAAGATCTGCTGCCTGTGTATCCACCCACATAAATCATCTTTAAAAAGCCTTCTTAAAAATTGTAGAATTACAGCTTACTGAAGTCAGCTGGACCTTTACAGAGTCAGTAAGCAGCTAATCTTCTGTTTACTGTGCTTCTACCCTTAATATTTCTCTTGTGCCTCGCTGTGAAACATTGAACATTTGGCCTAAGCAAATGTCAAGTGAGTGTTGCTCTGGGCGCCCGGTTAGCTCAGTGGGTGGAGCTGGCGACCCATGTGCCGAGGCTGAGTCCTT